ATGTGGGGTTGTCGAGTGTGAGATAGGGTTAGGGTGGTGCTTTCGCTGTTACTGCGTTGCAATTCAAAGAGAAAAGGAAAGAAGGAACAAATTTAATAACATGCCAATAAATGCACATCTACACACACTTCACATATACGGCATACTTTTTATTTCATTTTTTTTTTAAAATCCTACTGTGTTATCACCCAGATTCGAACAGGCGATTTGCCAATGAGGGGTTTCTTACTCCTTTGGCTTAGTGGTTACCTGAGTCGAATATATATTTTTACTGAGCTTGTATGATAAAAAAGGGGCTTTTTTTCTTTTGAACAATATAGCATTAAGTAGATTTTCGGAAGCTAGGGAGATATGCTGATGTGACGAAAAGGAACCTGAATTCATTAGAATAGACAGAGTCTATTTGTTTTTCAACGATAAAACATAATTTTTTTCTATTCGATGGATAGGTTTTTGCTGATTGAAGTTAATTTTATACCCTTTCATTTGTTCCCCTTTGCTGCCAAGAATACAAACACTTTTACCCCTTTTCAGTTTCTTTTAATGATTAGTAATAAGTCCTAAAAATGGAAACCATGCATCCATAACAGCATCGTAAGAATAAACATAAGTCACCATTCCTCAGGGCTTCTTTTTTAGACCATACCCTCTAGATCGAGTTCCCTAATGAACGGTGCAAGGTCCATCTTATAGGTCAGATCCACAAGGTCATGTCGATCCATCAGGTTAAGAGACATGCGAAGTAAATCCCACATTCCGCGCGTCGCGATCAGGTTTCCTTCGCCTTTCGGTTCCGTACCGCCTTGCTGCATGGCCAGTGCGCGCACAACGTGTTTGGCGGCCAATAAATACTTCCCAACATTATTGTAGGCCACCGCCATGTTGAACATCGCGCGCACGTAGCCAGGATCGACATCGAGGGCGTGTTGGTATGCCTCCAATGCCTGTTCCGAATGACTGCCATTGGCGAGGGTGGCGCCGAGTTTATTCCACACCTTGGCGTCATTTGGCCGAAGCTCCACAGTTCGGTGGAAGTTCTTCGCCGCCAAGTCAAAATCATGTGAGATGTTGTAGATAATCCCAAGATTAGTGTACAGATCCGCATCGTTCGGGTTTAACTCCAAGGCGGCATGGTATAGGGTGACGACCTCACGCATTTTGATTGGATCGGAGAAAAAGTACGTATCGTTGGTATCGAAATCCCCCACTTGATCCGGTTCAATAGGGATTTGAGCGAGTTGCTCATACTCCGGGTGATTTAGCAGCCATTGCTTCAGACAATCGATGGCGGCGTCGGAATTGTGCTCGTTTGTGTGCGAGACACTCAGCGCCGCGTGGACCTCGCGATCTCGCGGGTTAATCCGACGAGCGTTATTAAGCGCGACGATAGCCAAAGCGTCCTTTTCATTATTCGCTTGCGTCGTCCCCAGAATACGCCATGCCTCAAAGTGCGAATGGTGTCGTTGACATTCCGCCTCAAACGCCAGGGCAGCCTCTGCGAGGTTCCCCAACTGAAGCATCTGCAGGCCGTCCTCGTAGGGGTTGTCATGGTGGACGTACGGATTGTTGGGTTCGAACGGGTAGTCGGTTGAGTTGGCGGCTTCTTCAGCGTATTTTTGATTTTTCATATATTCCCGAGCCCAATCATCAACTTCCTGCGTGGCATCAATGGCGGGTCCGAATCCGTCCATTTGCGTCGGATGGAATACCTCATCCGGCATGTTTATGTTCTCATCCTTGCACCAAGTCTTGAGATATTCCATATCCTCCATCACCACTGGTTCTGGTCCGGGTCCTGAGACTAGCTCTCCCTTCTCTTCATCGATGAGAACTTCACGATTACGGATGCGATCCATGAAGGAATAGAACTCGCTGTTTTTGGTTTTTTCTTCAACCGACTCCGCCGTTTGATTTTCCAGCGTGAAGTTTTCGACATTTGCGTAGTCCTGGGCCCATTGTTGTTGGGCTAGCTGCGTAGTCCAGTCCTCCTGTGGGAGGATGTTTGTATTTTGAGCGGTCGACACCTCTTGTTGTTGTGTTTGCGTGAGGTTAAGGGGGGTGGTTTGATATTGTGTGCGGGGCAACATCAACCCGGAACCCATGTTGGCCCCCATCATTCCGCTCATCATCGCCATATGATGTTGTTGTTGGTTCATGGTGTGTGGACCACCCGCTATCACTGCCATCGGGGCCACACTAGTTTGTTGGGATGCAAGAAAAGCCTGCTCCATCTCATTGGTATGTCGTGCAATCCCGGCGTTTCGAGAATTATGGAAGGCCTGAGCCCATTCGGCACCTGCGGTGGGATGGATCATGGCGGGATGCATGATAGGCATTTGCATTAGGTTGTCAGTGTCGGATATCGTTGGGTTCTGTTGTGTATTTCCCTGAAACATCGTGACATCCTTGTTGAACTGCCATCCTAACTGGGCTCCCGAATTACAGTCCATTTTCGCTCTCTTGTAAGCAAGTGATATTTATGATTATTTTTTTGCTATTGGTAAGAGTCCCTTTTCAAAGACAATTTTTTTTTGTAATTTACCAGTATTAATTTAACTAAAGCTGTGAGGAAAAAAATATGACTTTTTTTATCTAAGTGGTAAAGTTTATAATGTTTCAACAAGTATCAAATTTAAATATAAAATGAATAGAATAAAGGCGCAAGAGATAGTATCGTCAAATATTAGAAATGAAATTACTTAGATACATTTTAAATTATTACAAGAGGAAAGTCTATGTAATAACTATTTCTTTTATTTACGGTTAAATAATTCAGTAATTTAATATTTCTAAGACAATTAAGTGTCAAGATTAAAAAGCCTTAGTTCAAAATATCGTCTTCAACATTTTTTTGCACTTTATTATAATCAGATATCAAGACCGTTTTTTATTTGACCGAGCAAAGTTCTTTCCCCTCTTTTTTTTCTAAAACTCTAATTATATCAGAGGCATAATACCTAAATAATTAGTCACATAAATGAAAGCATTAAATTATGTATGGAACGTACAACATAAAGTGTGACTAATTATCAATACATTATATGTATTAATTTATTTAGAAGAAAATTAAACACACGTGTATTTATTTACTATTACTATACTATTTGTCAATTTTCTTTATTTAAATGATTTTTTTTAGTACTCCATTGAATACTTATCAGCAAGTTGGTGTAACCACTCAATGACTTCCTGCTGCGACTTCGTACCCAAGCGCTTATCACCCCGGGCTCTGATGTTAATCGACCTTGACTCCAGTTCCTGTTGTCCAACAACAAAGATAAAATTGTATCTTGAGGTTTCCGCATTGCGGATTTTTTTATCAAGCGTTGAGGGGCTGAAGTCAACATCGACAAAAAATCTCTCCCTCTGGAGGGCATCGAACACCTCCTGTGCGTAGTTATTATAGGAAGCTGAGATGGGAACAATCATGATTTGCCGTGGGCTCAGCCAGAAAGGCCACATTCCGGCATTGTGCTCACAGAGGATTGCAATGCAACGTTCAAGAGAGCCGAGGATGGCGCGATGAATCATCACCGGGCGTGCCTGGTTCGGATCCAGCCCTAAATCAAGACCCAAGTCCCGAACAGCCTGTTCGTAAGGGGTCTTTGTACCAGTGGTGGTTTGTGAATTCGACTGCACCAAGGGATTAGCCGTCGTCGATTCGGCTCCATTTTTATCTTTGGATTTGTCTTTTTTGGCGTCGTCGTCGTATTTGTCCTTTTCGACGGCGGAGGCCAACGTGTACTTAAGTCCGAACCGATTTGGCAGGTTGAAGTCAAGCTGAATCGTGGCGCACTGATGGCGACGAAACAGGGCGTCCTCCACGGTGATGTCGATTTTGGGGCCATAAAAGGCACCATCACCGGGGTTTTCTGCCCATGCGTTGGCGTGGACCGGACCTTTCCACATGGATGGGTCATCGCTCTTCTTGGAGTTACGCATGAGCACCTTTAACTTCTTTAATGCGTTCGGGGTCCCATCGAAGCTAAAAGTTTCCCCGGGATGAAATGGGTCTTCCAGCGACTCTGGGATACCGCAGAAATGGTTCAGCCCTGCACGGAGATGGGACTCTGACTCGTCCCATATCTTATCAGAGCCCAGCTTGTTCTCTGGACGCGTCGAGAGCAGAAAATGGAACTTAAATCCAAGGGTGCCGTAGACATCACTTAGGAAATCCAAGGCGCCTTTTATTTCATCGCGTATTTGATCCATACGACAGAAAATGTGTGCATCATCTTGCTGGAAGCGGCGAACGCGCGTTAGGCCTGTTAATGTGCCGCTGAGTTCATTACGATGTAGTACACCAAAGTCAGCATAGCGGATCGGAAGTTCTTTGTATGAATGCGGATAGCTCGCAAACATGATGCAATGGCCTGGGCAGTTCATAGGCTTGAAGGCAAATTCTTCCTTTTCGCATGTCGTACAGAACATATTTGCAGCGTACTTATCCCAATGCCCTGAGACCTTCCACAACTTGGATGAGTAGATATTGGGCGTAATCACTTCCTGGAAGCCGCGGTGTAGATAATGTTTACGTAGAAATTCAATGAGGGTGTTATAAATGCGGGCACCGTGTGGGAGCCAAAAGGCGCTGCCAGAGGACACATCATTGAAGATGAAGAGATGCTGTTGCTTGCCAATCACACGATGGTCTCGCTTCAAGGCTTCTTCTTGCCGCTTACGCCACTCACCTAACATGGAGGCCTTGGGAAAGGTGATTCCGTATACACGTTGCAGCACCGCGTTTTCCGCCTTACCTTGAAAGTAAGAGGACGAATTTTTGAAGATACCGAGTGCTTTAATGCGTCCAGTATCTGTGATATGCGGGCCACGGCAGGGGTCAATCAGAGCACCCGAACGGTAGAGCGTACAGGTTGTCCCGTCCTTCACTTTGCTGTCCAGGATGGAGGTCTTGAAGTCTGTGTAGCCGAAGATGCGAAGTGCATCCTCCTTAGTCACCTCCAGTCGTTTATAAGGGGCCTTTTCCTTGACGAGTTCCTGCATGGCGGCCTCGATAAGGGTGTAATCCGACTCTGTCACGGTGCGTTTGGTCATGCCCTCGTAAAAAAACCCGCCCTCCTCGAGCGGGGGCCCCACCGACAGCTTCGCATCCAAGACCCGTTCCAAGGCGTATCCCAGGACGTGGGCGGAGCTATGCCAGAAAACGTGCTGGGCCTCCTTGTCCTCCCAATCCAGCAGTTCGAGGGTGCAGTCCTCCTCAAAGGGTCGTGTGAGGTCCCAGAGCTGGTCATTCACCCGTGCCACAATAACCCGCTCCGCGAGCGAGTTCGAGATGCGCTTAACGAGGTCCATGGGGCAGCTCACCCAGCTTGCCGTCTCTAGGACCTTGCCATCGATCAGCTTGACTTTAATGGGCTGCTGTTTCTCCTGAAAGCGACGCTGCTGGGCCTCCCAAAGTGTGTCAAATATGTCGATGCGGTGCTTCCACCAGTCCGGGGTGGCGATTTGGTGCAGCGCGTCCTCGGCCTTTGCGGTGTTGACCTTTGCAGGGTTAGGGGGCATCGTGTTAGGAATGGCGGGAGGCTTTTTGTGGTGGTTAATCGGTCTGGTTTCGAAGCAGAAGCGTTTGGGCTGCGTTAGATAAAGCAATGGGAGATTGTTTAATCTCGGTATGTTGGGGCAGGCACGAGGAAGAAAGCGCTTAATTTTCTGATAGGAAAGTGGGTAGTTATCCCTGAAGAAGATTGCAATATGAACAATGATATTGTGGAAAATAAAACGTATTGGAGCTTTATACACCTTTTTCACGTCTCTACTTTTTTTTTTAGTACCTTTATAAGGACGATTGAAACAGTTTAATTTAGCTATAGAAATAATAACTGTAAGACAGTAAGTTTAAGAGCGAAAATATATGTACAATTATATACGCATCTTTATCGATAGAAATGGACTGAGCCACAATTTCATATCGGAGAACATTGCTGTACAGTTAAAAGTTCACCCACACATATTATTTTCTGTGCGTTTCACTTTTAATATACCAGTTCTTATATATATATAGTTATTAATAAGTGACTTAATCGGATCGCATAAAGTTACTGTTTTGCATTAGCTACAGATGAAGGATATACATCCACATTTGATTCGGGGTTATGTCAATAGGGGTACTTCTACCTTTTGGAAATTCTGTATTTTCAGACATTTATTATAACTAGACCTACTTCTATCAATGGTAGTGTTTGTTTACTAGCATCTACCTTATGTTTTATCATTTTAAAAGGGTTTCTTTCGGTGAAGTGGATTTTGTCTTTACCCGACCAAAGCGCACAATACGGATAGATCCCACCCCTTCAGTTTTCACCGGATGCTTCACTAACACACGTGCGTGTTCAACCGTGTTTTTGCATCGCCTTTTTTTGGCGCTTTGTCGTACCAATGCCTTTATCTCCTTTCTCAGAGTCTTCACGAGATCTTTTGGGATGCCGACCGCCACTGCGAGTTGCTGAGGAGGAGGAATGGGAGGCAGATGAGTAGACGAGTCGACGATACGCCTCATTGATCTCGCATTCTGCCTGCCGAGCTTCAACTTCGGCCGCCCGACGCATTCTTCGACAGCCCTCTTGTTCCTCTAAGAGGGTATTCCAATAAAAATGTTCGAGATATTTCACCATCCACAATTGACCATAACAGCGTCGTTGGCGTTTGCAGTCAACTGGATTGCCATTCATGGCGGCCGCCGCGAACTTGGCGTCCTGCGAGGATGCGAACTCCATCCACCCTTCCTTGTACTGAAGGGGTAAAAGAGGGCCGCCAGGACGACGTTCTTTTTTGGGATAAGGCACAAATTTCATGCGTAGGATTTTACCGAAACGGTTGAAGTGTAGACGAACCTCATGTGGCCGAATATCGCGAGGTATGGAGGAAAAATACAGAACCCCTCGCTGATCTAGGGAAGACAATATCTTGCTCTTTTTTGAACTTGCAGTGGCGTCTGTTAATTCGGAAGACGAATTCATCTTGCGTTTTACTAATTTTAGTGACTTTTTTTAAAATTCTTGAGGAACGTATACATATACGGAATAAAAAGGTGTGTATGAAAGGATAATTTATATACAAGTGTTTCTGAGAATCTAATTCAAACATTTAATACAAAGGACCCTAATTATTGTTTTCACTATCATGTTTATCATTGACATGTGTATGTACATAAGGCATTGCGGAAAATACTTCGATTCATTAGAGGCACTGACAGGGGTTTACGCAGACAATTAAAGTTTTTAGTCATTAGTATTCATCATTTTGTAGTTTACAAATGATCTTTTTTGTGTGCATGTTCATGACCTCTGAGCTTTAGCTTTGATTATATATATCCATAAATATATATTCTGCCTTCATTGCTCTATGTATGATAAAAGTAATAGCAACTGATACGCAAATATACGCAATCACATAATTAATCAAAGTAAGTCATATTTTGAATATTTTTTAGAGATCTTTTCGAAATGAATCCAAAGGAGTAAATTAATATAAATTTTGTGAAAAGTAAGTTTGTAATACACACAAACACAATATATGCATAAAGCAGAGCAAAAAAACAAAAACATAATATACCCGATTTCCTGTAACAAAGAGATAAATCGGCATAAATCTCAGCTACTTGGAACAATCCATGTTAGAAATATAGTTTAGCATCACTAACAGTGAAATTCGAATCCAATTTTAAATCTACTATGTAATAAATTAACTACAACAAAGGTTCCCTCATTGCCATCTAAGAGTGAAACCTTTACACCGGTAGACGAGGTAAATTTGTGCATGACTTCACAGTGTTTTTTCACCTTCAGTGATTTTTTTTTATAGAACTTTGGGGTATGTATGGATTGCCACCAACCCATAGCACTATGAATAGGTGAGTATAGTGTAAAGAAAGCCTTTGGAAACAACTAACATGTTCTTCAGACCTTTGTTGAAGAGTTTTCATACCCTTTGACCCCGGATAGCCTCAGGGTTGACAATGTGGATATATCCGATGTGTACTCTGCCAGACCACTTTTGTTGCATGGAGTCACATCATTTTCACTACTTATTATACTCAAATTGGCAGAAATATTATTGATAATATTTTGAGTGTCATGATTTTTTGCACGCTTGCCTGGTACCTGGCCATTCATGCTCGGCATGAGTGCTGGGCATGTTATCTACTCTAAACTGTTGTGTCTTAGGACTTCGTTTTTTATTCTCCAATTGCATCAACCTATAGAGTTCTGGGATCAAGAGATCGGAAAGTGTGATGCAGATGGACTCGCTGGGTTCGATATCATTAAAGTGAACGGGAGATTTGTACACCAAAAAGAGGCATACGGCGCTATCCGTGGTGCTTGAGTCTTTCTGGAGACTTGACGACGACGATTTTATCTCAATTGTGTCCATTGTGTTATACACAGGTGATTTATTGTGCCGCTTGGACTTGGAGCTTCCAAGCTGGTTGTGTCGAAAGACTAGATGCCAGCGAGTGGCGTCGCTTGTGATAACATGGATATCCACACAAAAACACCTCGCAGCGGCGTTGATGCAGATTTCATCGCCCCAGAATCCACTTTTCCTCATGTCTGAAACATATTGCTGCCATTCATTCTCACCATTAAAGAACACTTTGTAGTCTGACTCATTTTCTCTCATGTATGCCACAATACAAGACCGGATAATGTGGTGAAGATGGGCTTTACCGAACAGTTGGTGGGCCAGAGAGGCGAATAGACAGTTCCCATCGTCCTTTTGCGCACTACACTTGAGTTCGAGTTTCTTAAGGCGGCATTCAAGGCGATATGTATTCATTTCGATTTCTTGTTGTCGTTGAAGCTCTAGCATGGTCACGGAGTCATTTACGCCGAAGACCACACTACCCGTTATTTTAGTATCCTCACCCACCTGATATTCCGTTTCTACCCGCTTCGCCATCGCTTGCTCTTCGTCAATCGTGGCCTGGCCTAAGAAGATATCCTCAGGGGTGTTGTAGTTTTCACAAGTCAAGCAGTACCGAAGACCTTCGCATGAGCGCGCGGTGTTGTGCAGTGTGGTGCAGTATTTACAGCACCATAGACGTGGCATACCACAACTTTGACAAATATCCCCTTCAATAGTGTTCACGGCATGGCAGTCTTGACAGCGCCATATGATGTGCATCTCGTTGTTCAGACATAAGCTTCGCTCTGTGTTGCTCAAGAAGGGGGCGTTAGGGCTATCGGACAGGTCGACACCACAGTGAGAGCAGGTGATCACGTCGCCATTGGGGCTCTCTAACGCATGATTCAAGTCGTACCGGGATTCATTCGAACAGTTCAGCTCCTCGCATTGGTTGGTGAGGTTCGTCGGCTGGCAGTTGTGGGCTTGGAAGGAATAAAACCCCATCAGAGGGACGTGTGTCGAGTCCGTCGCCTCCGCCTTCAACTCCGCGTCCGAGGAGATCCGCAGCTTTTCGATTTTACTCGCTAGCTTGCGATCATTTGAGCGTCGTTTTTGTGTGTCGAGGATTGGTAAGACCAGCGCGACGTAGGCGGTGTGAAAACATCGGAAACACAGGGCATTGGAGTCTCGTAGGCGAAAACGCAGCGGTGTTTCGTGTCCACAAAGCCAACAGGAGAGTTTTCGCGAAGGACTGTTCGGGCTGCTCAGCGAAACGCTTAATCGTTCCCTATTGTTCTCTTCTGTAGAATCCCTCCTGTGTACTTTTTGTATCTGACGTTCACTTTCGATCTTTCTTCTGAGTAAGACAGTAATCTGTTCCATTCTTTTTTTCCCTTTCCTTTTCTTCTTTTTCCACACTCCAAAAAGAATTACGTTCGTAGTACTAATATAGACGTGTTAAATCCTGAACTCCACGTTTTTTAAAAAGTATCCAAAGAATATTGTTTATGACAGAATTCTGCTCGTCTTTTTTTTTAACAGTCCTTCTAATTGGGAAAATGGGTACCCTTTTTTGAAGGATGACTATGCACAAAGAAAACGATCCGTTTTTTAAAATTGGTTCAACTCTTGAGTAGTTATCACCAAACGTTGCGTCTGTGTCTTCACTATGAATAGACGATTTAGACTCCTATTAAAGAAGGATAAATAAGCCTTAACAGTATAAGAAAAAAGATTTTGCGTAGCTGTTAATGTTTAGAAATGAAGGACTGAGAAGTTGGAATTTTGTGTATCCATTTTTTGAATATTTATTTTCTAACGAAGATAGAAAGACCAGACTTTAAAGAACAATTACTTTCTACCTGGGCTATAAATAAATATGTATTATTGAAGAAATAAAGCAAAAACCATTTTTTTTTAAATATTCCATTATTTAATACGCTATATGCCTACAAATACTATTGCTAGCCATACCAATAGACAAAAAGTACAATGTTTTAACGTATGCACTAATGCTTTTTCTTCCTATGAGAAAGGGGCCATCTCAACACTTGAATACATGTGTTTATGCAACATAAATTTTTTTTTAATAAAAGAAGACGATGTAAAACTTGAAATTTTTTTGAAATTGCTCAACAGCGCCCCTATACGTATACATATACCCTACGCAGATATTTTTATCTTAATCACAAAGACATGAATTTCAGCGTTTTGTCTTTTTACAACATCCGGTCTATTTTTCCTATATTGTTATAATATTCAATGCAGCTTTTACTTCCATGAATACGGGGAAGAAACAGCTTTAGTCGGTCTAATAAAGATCTTTTTTTTTTTTGATGAGCCAGGCCTCCTTTTTTTCCCATCGCGCGTACTCTACCCCATCCCCTTGTCTTACCTAATACCAGTGTTTGCAGGTCCAATACTGAGTCCACTCGTAGTTTGGGGTGTGTGAAAGGCATCCTAAGTAACTAAAAACTGGTTTGGTGCCGTAGAAGTATCTCATTAAGGCACCTTGGATGTCTGTGGCGGTCGTACTATCGATGCGATCATACATCTCAAGAAGTGGAACCCGTCTGCCGATCTGGAGGATTTGTTTCCCAATATCCTTCGCAGACTCGGTGTTGTTATCCATGGCAAGGAGGAGCTGAAATTTGAGATTAATCTTTGCCTTCTCAAGCTCGTCTTCCGGCAGCTTTAACTGCGCAAAACGACACCACTGTGATATTGTATGGTGCATAACCTCAACAGTGACACCGGCGTTCTTATGGTTCTTCTGTGCGGCACTTCCCACTATGTACATACCACAGAGCCCCACATCTTTATAGGTTTCTATAAACGAATTGACGACTTTGATGCCATGTTGATTAATTTTTTCCTTCATCTTCTCCGAATTATGCAGAGGGGAGAAGACCTTGAGGATATGATTCACCGCGTTTGAGCTAATGTCGTCCTGGAAGTCCTCGAAGGACCATGGGATTTCGCTGGCAAGAGAGAGCGGCACGATATCACCGCAGGCCGCGCCGCACGTTTGAAAGGCCCACGCAACATTCACCGTATTATAGCGCATATTCCACAGACGATACTCCCCCCCAACGAATTCACTCGATGGGACGTCAGGAATGCATTGGCTTCCCTGAACGAGATCCCCTAAGTACTCCCGCGCTGACTCTTCGAGCTCGGTATGATCGACGCAGCCAGTACCTACGACAACGACGCGTTTTCCGGTGAAAAACCTAGAACGATATGAATTCAACTGCTCGCGCGTGATCAACCCAATCCCTTCCTCGTTTCCGTAGAGCGGCGTCCCCAGGCCATGGCTGGTGCTGCCGTAGGCGCAGCGGTGCAGGTTGTCCATCACGAGTTCCTGCGGGTTCTCCTCGAACCGCCGTAAATCTGCCCGTGCTTCCTCCTTCGCCCTTGCGAGGTTCTCATCGCTGAGGTCCGTGTTTCGAAGGATGTCTGCGAGAACGCCAACGGCATCTTTCACTCCCGTCTTCTCCACGTTCAGGTAGAGGTAGCTCCGCTCGCGCCCGACGGTGAGGCCGAGCTGGCCGCCAAGGCGATCCACTGCTGCTTTAAGCTGCCTGTGGCCGCCCCGCTCGGTGCCGAAAAGACCGCACCTTTGCAGCGCGCGCGCGGTACCGGCGTAGGCCGAGTCCTCGTCCCGCGTCCCGGCGTCCAGCCAAAGCCCGACAGTGGCGATCCGTGCGAGTGGGTGGGCCTCCACCGCGACGCGGACGCCGTTGGGGAGCATCGAGAGCGTCGTCGGCGGGACGCGCTGTAAAATTCCGCGCAGCGCCGTCGAGCTCGCGGACAGCGCCCTCGCCTCCGGCCCGCCTAGGCCGAGGATACTAGTGCGCATTCCCTTCTCGTGTACGTGCGTGAGTGTGCGTTTGTGTATGTATTTCTCTCTCTCTCTTTCGGTATCGGTGTTTTTTTTATTGTGTGTCTATGTCAGTGTGTGTGTGTCTTCTTGTTGTTGCTGCTACAGTTTTGGTTCAATTTAAGTTATTTCTCTCTCTATATACACATATATGTTGATGAATTACTGTGTTGGTAATAGCCACAGAAAGATGAAAAGAGAAAAGGGGTGTTGTCGTAAAAGATGGATTCACACATATGAAAGGCGTAGAATTTCACCAAGCTTACTGTTTCCATTCTATCACCCCGAGTCTCTTTTTTGTGTAAGGAAAAACCTAGTAAATAAAATATTCGATAGGAAATTTGTGTATATTATTCCTTTAGTATTTTTACTATTGCGGTGCGAGTGTCTCAACAATAAAGCGACCTTTTTTCATTGGAAAGGTGATAATGTACCTCTTTAGATGTAACATAATATTTCATAATATTTTTCCAATAAGTGTAGATAAGTGTGAATACATTGCAACTATTTCATATAAGAAGGGGAGTTATATTATATTAGATTTTAGTTTCCTATAAATACTGTTTTCTCTATGTAACACCTTTTTTTTTAGGAATATTAAAATAATGACCCCTACTTTTTGACATCAAAAGGGAAGGATGTATTCTCAAGAAGGGGTCTAATTCATAGTGCGCGACCAAAGGTAAAAATAAGCACCTATAATACAATTTTTTTGACAGCTTTACTTTTCCTTCATAAAAAACCATAATCATATCATTTCAAAGTAAAAAATTATTACCTAGCTGATAACCATAGAAAAAAAAGGTGTACAACAGACAAGGTATTTTTATAGCGCACAATCTATCTAGTTTTTTTTGAAAGAGTGTAAATAGGGTCCATAATAGAAGGGGTTACTAAGCAATATTAGTCTAATTTTAAAAACCATCTTTCGTCCTTTTCCATTATTATCCCCACTTTCTTTTTTAGTGCTTTTCTTTGTTAGGGATTTTACATGGAATCGGTTCCTTTTCAAGGCCAACCGCAGTGCGGAAGATGACACCTGGGTGCGAGAAATCACAGAATGGTTGATTCTGTGTATGTTTACATCCACAAAGCATGTGACGTTTGTTTTTCTTCACAGTGAACTCCACTGGTTTTAATTTGGTGTTCCACTTTTTGTTGTATGCTTTGTGTGATTGATCACAGAACGGCTGTTTTTCACTAAGGCCACATGAGCACCAGAGGTACTTGCGACCTGCCTCCAGGTTGACGACGTAGGGCTTCTTTTGTGGAATACGCACAAAACTTTTGGGCGCATTTGGATCCACCTTAGTTTTCCAAAACGCTGAGATTATGGAGCGTTTTAACATTATTATAGTCACACTATAAGTCGCTTTATGTGTATAAATGTGTGTGAACAGCGGTAGTCTTTGGGTAAATTTCAAGAGGAAAAAAGAATTATTCAGAGTCTGATAGGAATCATAAAAATAATAATAATAGTGAAACAGTAATACCATACAGCAAATCAAACGTGAAATGAGCTAGCTTTTTTTTAAACAGAATACACATAGACATGTAAATGTAAATAATACGAATACAGAAAAAAGAACAGTCAAAATTCAAAAGCTCTTATATTTCTTTCTTGTTACTGAGCTTCATTTTGTATGTTTGGGGAAAAAATATCAGAAAAATAGTTGAAATAATGATTTTAACATAATTACATATTTAAACGTTCATGTTCACAAATTTCATCGTGTATGATTTGTTTCTCAAGGCTAAGATTGTGTAGAAAATGAGAAGTCCAAATAAAGTCAGTATAATATAAATAGACAAATCGTATTTTCCTCTTCCCAGTAAAACTGGTTTCACAATGGTAGATCAATTTTTTTTAAGCACATTGTAGACATAAATTATTGACCTTTCACGTATTGTTTTCAGTTATGTTTATGGATCAATTGCGAACATTTGTTAAAAATCCAACCCCATATTCCTTTTCCTATCTATTATACATATTGCCTAACAATATATAAATATATATGTACTTTAAACAGAAAAAATTGGTTGGTTTATGAACAATACATGTACACAAAAATACATATCAAAAAAATGGGATCATTATTTGACCAGATTACAGCGGCCTTTGTACGATTTAAAGAAATAGGTAGAACATGTCGACCTATAATTGCATCTGGTATATTTTCATTTATGTGTAATCAACAAGTGCCCATTCCACATGTAAATAAATAGAAGCTATTTCAACTTTTCCTCTTTTTTTGGGACGCTTCCAAGGCCCATAAAGAGGAAAAAGATGCAGCGTTGAAGAAAAAGTCGAGTACTACACGTTTCTTAGTTCACTTCTCAGAATCCATTTTCCATTTTGTAAAGCAAACGGATAAATGTACATATATATTAAAGAGAACATCTTCATGATGCATTTGTTTCTAATCATTGTGTTTATTCATCTCCATGGCAAAATTTTTGTTGCCATGGATCTTTTTATAGAGGGTAGTTAAAACACCCACACCCTTATTATTTTGTAAAGATCCGGCACTCCGCTTGATTCTGTTAGGCGTATAATAAAATCAAAATGAACACTATTGACCCAATCTGAGGACTTTTCATTGAACAAATTATTCAATACTTCATCGTCCTGAAGTTGATTAACTGCTCGACACCTTGTGGGTAAGCTAGTCTCTTTTTTAGTCATGATAAAAAAAATGGACATTTTTCCCCTTTTAAACTTTTTTTGAGTGTGACCGTGACGGTTCCCTTCCCTTTCCATTCCGTGTAGAGATCCCCCTCATCGCCAGAGTGGGTATTCATCACACACCCTGACAGTGCGTGTGGTTTGATTAGGAGCATTTCGCCAGTTCGTCAGCTGCCGCCCTCTCTCCTTTTATTTCTCCTTCCCCCTTAGTGTTGACTGAACTACCGCAGGCCTTGAATGGGGTGTGGGGGTCGGTGAATGGGCAGTTTACGTCTTTCGCTGTAACAACAGGCTCCACAGCCCCCTTCCCCTTTTCTTTTCTGCGCGTTGCAAAGAGCTTCTTAACGATCTTACCAAGGAAGCTCGCGTGCCGTTTCATGTCCTTGTTACATCTCGCGGAGGGCGGGGGCTCGTTCGTGCCGTGGTGGCGTTTGGTGATTTGGCAGCAGACACTGCTCGCGCGTGGGAAGCCGCAATCGGTGCAGATGTCCGTGGGATGGTAGAGGCTTCCGGCCATATGGTCCTCTAAAGGGTCATTGGACGTGTGAGTTTGCATTTTGGCGGGTTTGCAACATTGCTGGGAGCTTTGTTTGGATAGTGGGGGGTCGTCAAGGGTGGGGTGGGGCATGGGGTCCTCGTCAATGTCACAGGGGAAGATACTGTAGGAACGTGTATCACACTCGTCCGAGCCAGGAAAGTGGTTGTCTATCTGGCAAGTGTTGTTTAGCATAATATATGTATATAATTTCCGTCTTCCGTTCTTTATATCGTAATCACTGGCATTAAGTTATGATAGTTGGCTCTCTTTTTGGAGTTCGTACTTGGTGTGTTTGTGGAGGTAGTGTGGAAATGTAGTACCTGAAGAATAGATCTTCTTTTGTATGACTTCAGATGTATGGATAACACTTGTGTGGATATATTTTCGCTATAGCACTTGCGTATTTTGTAATATTAATTAATTTAAGATTGCCAAATATAGATGTGCCTTATGAGACCACTATTTTCTGATATGAAGTTTGATACTTACCTTTAAATATGGCTTCGCCTTAATTGTTGTAGTTTTCTGATTTGAAATTTTATGGAGTATAAAATCCTATATACAGTTGAAGGGTATATTTTTAACTTTGAAAAGATTCAAAAGAACAAGATAAAATAATACAAATCTCCAGTACCTAGAGCAGATATTCATTAAATATGATAAATCTTTTCATATTTTTTAGTGTTTTCCGAGAGATCAATAATAAAAACGTGATATAAAAAGGTAGGTTTTATCACAAAATACGCAGTACAAAAAGTAGATAAATATAATCAGATTAGATAAATACCGTAAAAAGAAAGAAGAACACACAATTAAAGGAGCTGTAGGAGTGTATGTGTTGTAATAAATCAGTCCCCTATAACAGTTCTTCATTGTAAGCAGACTCAGTACGATGATATTAATGCAATTGCTTTTTTTTCTAAGTTATTTACAAGTTGCAAATTAATTATAGAGATGATTCTATGATTGTAAGAATAATATCTATCATTATTGTTATCCAAGATTTATCTTGAATCCCATATAGCTTATATACACATTATCTAAGTTGCCAGTTTAACACTTTCGCACAGTGTGTAACCCCTACGTGCGATTCCAAACCGTTGCTAATGTGGAACATATAATATGCGTAGTCTTTTAGTTTCGCCATAGATTCCTCGCCCGTATTATTGAACATTTTCACGTAACGAAATTACGTGGACGACGCACCGCAGGTTCATTTTTTTTTTAATTTATCAAACTGTAATTCCACATTCTTCCCAAGTTTATATCATGCACCAGGCAAGGGCGCATGGGAACGAAAGAACCACGGCCGTCCATCGTCCACGTCGTCCTTGACAACGGCGCCGGAGCCAGAAAGGTGATCAATGACAGCGCGTGATTTTACCTTGTGGAAAGTGGAAGGGTGAGCGTGAACCTCACATGAATAAAAATGCAGAGGAGAAGCTTCTTCGTCGGCATGGTGACGAAAATGAGATTTACGATGGAGTTTGCTTTCATGGCGTAGGGCAGCAGACCCGGCGATGTAGGCGCTACTATTGGGATCGCCATTCTCCTGCACCATCGTCTGCGATGAGCTGGTAGTAAAGACTATCAGAGGCGAATCGCGCTGAATTCGATAAAATTTATCTTGACAGTACCGATTCTCAGTGAAAGAGGACATGCCTGATTAAACGAAAGAAATAATCGTTTTGGTCTCTATTAATAGTTTAGCGCGGAGATAAACAGCACTTGTGATTTAGTGAATACAATGGGGGGCTTATAAGACACACACACATATATATATATATATATATGTATCTTTTTTTCATGTTAATGTCATATACATACAAGAAGGATCTATGAGGAAACCTTCTTCTAAATAAGTGTATACCAGAAGCAAAATCGAAAAACGAGCAATTAACACAATAAAATATTGATTATCCAATACACAAATTTTCAAAAGGATAAAACATAAACTGCAAAGTAACAAAGACCTATCACAGCATTTTTTATGTCTCTTTATTTCCCACATCCCCCTATATATTATATATTGACTAACGCTGGATGGCTCGATGTCTAGCGATATTACTTTTAGTTGGCTGGATCAAATCATCAGTACCGTCTTGTACTGCGGTTACTCGTTGCTTAGTATTTGTACCAACATGTGCGTTATTATTAGTCCTTGCCGCCACCGCAGATGCGCTTTTTGACTTCGGTTTCAGTGAAAAAGACAGCGCACAGGCGCAGGATTGATCAACTAATTCGTTTCCCACTACTACAAACGCTGCTCCTTTTAGTTCGCTGTAGTAGTCTATAACCGCTTTTTGGAGCTTACTAATGCTGATATTATCCACAACTAACTGCGGCGGTGGGTCAGCTCCGCTGAAGTTGGGATCGTCTTGGCTTACCACATCCGTCTCTTTCAACAACAGATCCTCCTCATTGTTCAAGGCATCAATTGTCTCGAGGGAAAACTTATACAAATATCCATGACAGCCTCCAGAATCAATGGCAAGGCGCAGGTAGCGTTTATCGTTAGGAAGGCCCTCTTCTTGATTCTTTTCCGAGATACGATGCCAGGCACGTGAGGATACCGTGAAGTTATCACCGTAATGCTGCAAGGTCACGGCAAGGGGGATGGTGCGGAGGATCCAACCACATCTAAGCATGTATATAAATTATGATATTTTTGTATCAATACTGAATATAAGAAAATATGCTATTTGCACTTTTAGTTTTTAATTTTGGTGCGTGAAATATACGCATCAGTGTAAAATAAAAAAGCGAATTTTAAATGACAATAAACCTTACAGGATTATATTTTTCCATTAGTTAAGGGCAAATGAAGAGCCATTTGGTATAGTATTGAATATAAGGGATGATCAAGTCATTCTCCTAAAAAGTTTTTTTTTTAAAAATAAGCTATGTGATTGCGTAATAGTGAAAGCTGACGGATAACGAAAACAATACTTTTTCTTCTTCAAAGAGTCATACCCTCTTTCCTAGTATACCAAAATTTACATACCTACAGTTTTGAAGACCTCGTGAGGTGATGAAATAAAATTAACGACTATACTATATTTCCTTTACTAGTCAATAAAAGCTATTAGCTTTTACAGTGTTTATCACTACAAATATCTAAAGGATATATATTTTATTGAATAATCAAAAGAGGGAATCCATACAATAAAACATTGCATATAGTGTCTGATAGAATACCGAGGGCATTGTGAGGCTTAGTCCGTCTTCAGTTTCTTTGGGTTGTCTAGCAGTCTTGTGGCAAGTGGCTCAACAACGAGAGCCATGAACAACAGAAACATAAAGAACCCCACACAGGAGATCACAAATACAAACACAAAGTCATCGTAGCCGAGCAGGCGGTAGACCTGTTCGAGACCAGGTACATAGGAAAGCCGCTCCGCGAGCGCGGTGGCCGCGGAAAGCTTCTCGCCGTAGTACTTACCGGCGACTACATCACGGATGAATTGTTCTAGTAGACGTTCCTGCACACCCCCGATTTCCCACGGCGTTTGAAGTTTAATCGCCTCGAGATCGGGAACGCGGGTACGGACTCGATACAGCCGTGTTCGAACGGGATCGAGAATCAGCAGCGCTGGCATCTCCTCCGGCGCGACCTGATACCGCGTCAGCCAGTGATCGTAGGTGCTGCCATCGACCTGGGCCCAAGTCACCCTCGGCGCGCGCCACGCCTCCTCGAGCGGGAGGCCCTTTGCTTCCCACTCCTCATTCCACCGCTGGGTGATCGCCCGGAGGACCGGGAGGTAGTCCCGGTCGTCTTGGCCGAGCGTCCCATTGGTGAAGAGGATCCCCAGCAGGCCCGTCTGGCCTGTGACAAGGGTCTCCACCAGCGCCCCGTTCAGCTCCTCCACGGCATGGAAGCCGTGCTGGAGGAGGAAGGCCGTCAGCCCGGCGCTGATGAAGGGGGGGGCGAGAAGGGGGTCCAACCACGGCCCCGCGTAGCACCGCGGCCCGCGAACGCGATCGGTGAAGGACACCACCACCGCCCCGGTCCCACCGCAGGCCTTTGCGGCCTCAACGACTTCGCGATTCGCCGTTGCCCCTTCTTCCCCCATCGCGTCCGCCGCGAGCAGCCCAAATCGCGTGTTGGCAAGGGTGAAGGCGGCTTTAATGGCGATGGCCCAGGGGGAATCCGTCAGGTTCACCGGCCCCCCGCGGGGGTCTGTCGGGAGGACAACCAAAATGGGCACCCGACCATCCTTGCGGGTCTCGCGCGCAAAGCGCGCGACGTCTGTGATGGTCTCCATAAAGGCGCCGGTGTTCACAGAGGTCTGTAAGGACTTGGCGAAGCTTCGGAAGCTTTCTAGGGTGTGGGAGCCGTGGAATTCACCCCAGTAGGGGGGTTCGCCTGTGGTGTAGAGCAGTGTGGGATAGTACTTGATCTTTAAGCGTCCGCGAAGCTTGGGGCTGGTGTAGGCGTTGAGAAGGGCCATCTGGGCGTGTGCCCCTGAGGCGTCATCTTGAGTTAAACTTATCCCCGCGTCGAGAAAGTGCGGGAGCATGCCTTTGCAAAGGTCGCACCACGGGGAGTAGATAAAAATAAACCACGACCGCGGCGACCCCTTTGGGCTGGCAGCCTCCGTCGTATTCAACCTCGAGGGAAAGACCAACTCATCAAAGTTCGTATCGTTTAAAATTTTGATCGCGTCCGGCACGGTAAAACGTGCTTCTCGGATAATGTTATCTTCGTTGATCACCACCTCATCGGCGCCACCGTAATTGACGAAGGTGTTCCAAAGACACAAGCAGAACAATAACCAAAACATCAGAGGAGTTTGGTGCGGACGGACCAGACTTGTCATTTTTGTTACTGTGTTTCGTTGGCGCTTGCCTCAGTTGTTTGAGATATTATAACGTATGAGAGTTCCGAGGAGGAAAAGTGTATAAATTTCGATAAGCGATCTTATCTAAGCTTTTTATTTTATTTTATTTGACTTTTAGTGTTAGATATGCAAAGCTCAGTATACAGGGGATGAAAAATCTGATTTCACTACTGATTACTTTTATAAGTCTAAAATCCAAAGAGATTGACATAAAAGTGAAGAAAGGAGGTGGATTTCTGGTTGAAATCCTTTACTGTTTGCCTTTTCACAATCATTTTTGTTGAAAAGTAAATAAATTGGGAGTTTTAAGTTGTTGTTTTTTGGTGTCATTCGTCATAACTTCGTGTGAGTAAGGAATGTTATAAAATGTTTGCTTGTACATAAGCGTAAACGGAACATATATATGTATAAGTGGAGAAGGGTATATATCATCGAAACTCTGCTCACAATAGTATGCAACGAGAATAAATTCATAGTTTTTCGACACACAGCGGCGAGAATTTTATCTCCAAGTAACTCTCTATTTTCGCCTTAAGAGAATTCCTATTATTTGGATTATTTTCTTTTGTTTTTGGCATTGTCATTACTATACATGGAATCTGTGGGAGGATGTGGGACTGTGTTCAGGCATTTATGGTGTATTTTGTCATCCATATAGTTAAGATAGGTTTCTTCTATAGCATCCTGTATATTTGACGTCCTTGTAAGTGTGAAGAGTTTCACAGGGGCTGTCTGGAAAATCGGAGGCAGTGACTTGGACGCGTCCTTTTTCAACCCTGCCTCGGCGTAAAGCACCGGTACACGTATCGTGGTGTTCGCCGAACCAAGGATAAATCGTTCCTTTGTGGTCGGTTTCGCCGGTGGACACCGATTTCCCACGGATTCATAAAAGACGGGAGTCCCATCCCCTTTTCTCGCGAGCTTTTCCCGTTGATTTCCCTCGAAAAGGAGGAGCTTCGCATCGGGGTCTGCTCGATGCCAAGTTCCGCCCCCGGTGAGGACGCTGACAGCGGCGAGTGGGGCGCGGCCACGAAGCAGGGCTTGCTGTGAAGGGCCAAGACAAAGATGCGAAAAAAACGCATTGAGCTGTTCTTCGGTATATTCCGTAAAAGACGTCACGCGGTACTTCCCGTGTTGTGAAGCGGCGTTCATGCAGAACAGCTCAAACTCGCTAAAAAGCCGTTCTTGCTCCCGTCGTTGGTCTTTTGTGAGGAGGGTGGGGTGGGTGGGGGAATGCGAAGACGCGGAGGGGGGGCGGCGGGAGGTGGGGGGAGTGTTTTTGTGGTCAAAGCCCTCCGTGGGCTGTAGCGCGTGCATGAGAAGCAGCGGGCCGTCTTTTCCCTCAACAGAGTCCCCAGCCCTGGAAGACTCAATACGTGGGAGGGTGATGGAGGGCTTTTTGGTTACGGAGGTTGGGACATGGGGTTCGGTATCTTTTAGAATAGATCGCTTTTGGCTTTCCGTTTCGGCGGCGGTATCGTTCTCGAGGGCTCGTTTCGCAGTCTCAGCATTCTTTTTTGCTTCCTCCGCTATCAGACGCTCGATTTCGGCACGAATTATTTGGCGCTTTCGCCGCGCGCTCTCAGTTTCGAATTTGCCTTTGGTTAAGCCTCGGCGCTGAAAGGCAGCCATAATATTGTTCAGCTGATCATCTGTGAGGGAAGCGCCTCCCGGACGTTGAGTACCGTCGTCGTCGTCGAGCGCCATAAGCTGGCGCATAAGTTCCGTACCACGAAGTTCATCTAAAGAGTAGAAATCCGGTTTCGAAACGATTTTCCCTAGGAGTTCCAAATCCAAATCCGCTAAGTCAACAAGCCCCAGAGACCTGGCAAGGTCACTGGATGATTTTTTATCCGTCGGGGAAGCGGCATCTGCGTTCTTCTTTCGCTCCACGGCCTCCTCTGTTTTCTTCAGCAATTCATAGAGCATAACCTCACGACCGGGATCTGAACAAACTTCATTAGGGAGCTTCACATTATGGGAACTGAGGATGCCCTGCAGCCAGGACATCCGCGACTTCAGTTCTTCCCGTTGAGCATCTGTGAGGGCTGTTGCCAACACCGCATCCTTTTCTTTCGAAGATTTAAAACTCATTGACGATACCTCTAATTCATCCCCGGAGGAACTGTGAAGGTAGCGTGAGAGCTCGGAGCTGTTAAGATCATAGTTGCTTTTGTTGTCGTTGTATATTAAATTCACTGAGGGATATCTTGCTCTGTCAGTATCACTCTGTCGGTGAGCCCGCTTGCCCGAACGATTCACGCGTCGTCGTCGAAGACCACGCTTTTCCATCTGCTTGTCTCTATGCTTTTTTTCCATTTCTTTTCCGTCCCAAAAGGCGGAGAGCTCGCTCATCTCGCTCTCTTCTGTATCTGTATACGATGTCCATGTCGTGTTGTCCGAAGCGTCGCCGTCGTTCACGTTGCCCTCCTCCCGGTCAAGCCCCTCAAGCCGACGAACCTGCTTAGGAGGGTTATCAGACGTCTTGCTTTTATCCAATAACGGGTTGGAGCTGGCAGGTCTCATCTGCGCTTCGTCAAGCACTCCGCTGGGGAGTTTTGCGTAGCTGTTTTGCGTGCTGGCCAAGCCCTCCTCTATGTCGTGCAGGTGCATCCGCTGTAGATAACGTCGCCGTTGGTAAACCTTCCCGTCTTCTGGATTTGTAAGGTATTCCACAATATACGCTGGCTTGGTGCTCGGCTCGCCGTCTGTCAAGGACGAATGCATAATAGTCTTTCGCCGGATGTGGACGAGTTCGCCTGTTTTTGAATTTCGCACTTTAAGATATCGCCAACCGTCTTTCTTGATTCTGCCCGTCCAATCAATCAAAGACCCGTCGCAGGTGGTACTATTGCTATCAAAGATTTCCTCGACGCCATTATGATCAAAGGTATTTATACAATGACCATCTTGCTCGATATCCGTCAAGAAAGTTTCCGGGATTTCCTTCATTCCTGTATCTCGACTAATTCGGTTCCGATGCGCGGGGTTCAAGAAATGCTCGACGGCGATATCGGAATCCGAGCTATCCCACTTCTCCAAGGCCTTCAAAATATCGTTAAGGGAGTCAATCATCACCTCGGACTCTCGCCGCAGCTCCTCCCCTGTGGTGTCGCGGAGGATGAAATCCTTATCCCCCTCCAGCATCTCAAACGTGACCAGGCTCTTATTTTGCCCCTTCAGCGCCGCGATCGCGTTGTCGTCGTCGTCCCCCCAGTCGTTCGAGAAGACGTCCATGTAGAGGCCGATGAGGAAGATCGCGGACTCGAGCGGGTTCCCCGTGGTGCAGGTCCAGTTATCCACCAGCTCCATCATCGCCGTCCAGAACTGCGGGAAGCTGAGGCGTGGGAGGGTGCGGGGGTCCCACAGCCCCGGGGCCCCGCCTGTCACAGCCAGGGGGGGTGGGGGTGGGGTGGAGA